ATAGTCAAGTTCTCCTGGAGAATGTGCGGGGATGACTCGGAGGCAAAGCTGCTCGAACGTGCGAAAGACGTGGATGGCATGGTGAAGCTTGTGGGATGGCGCGACTCGGTAAAAATTAGCCAACTTCGAGAAGGACTGATATTCACACAGGCAATGGTGAAAGATACGCGTCCAAATGACAAAGCCATGGCCACTCCACTTGAGTTCACTGATTGTTTTATGTCAGATCAAAAGAAAAGTACCAGCAAGAACACGAAGCGTAAGCGAAAGGGCGAAGTAAACGAAGCCGGGACTGAATATGGACGGTCAAGTAAAAGGGCAAGATCCTCAGCTGAATGTGAGCTAATCCGTCATCGACATCTTGCAAAATATTTACTAACAATATGAAAGCATCAGTCATGGCAGAAAGTGTCACGCAAAATAGACCATCTGTATCGTTGAATGTCATCACCGAAGAAGATGTGTCCTGTGTTCCAGGGGGTGAAAGCACTAATAATGCCGAAATCTCCATTGGAGGAGATAGGCTCTCTACTGGGGAGAAACGGAAGAACTTGGAGAGCGACGAAGTCAACGGTCGAATTAAGAGGCTTCAACTTTCAAGCAATGCAGACAATGCAGACAATGGAACAACTAACGACAATTCCGGCACCAGCAACCTTCCCGACATAGAAAAAGTCATTGGAATCTCGCCCTTCACTTTCGGAAGTGACCATTTGAATGTCACACACGATATTATTGGGCCCGAACTCAAGGTCAAGGTCAGGGTTGCAGGGATCCGAGATCGTCAGTCCTCGGCAGTTGCGACAACGCCATTTGGACGACCGATCCACAAGGTTGAATCGCCAATTGAACTGGTCATCGGGCTGCGTGATGCAATCAAGGCGCACAGGTCACTACTCAAAGATGCCATGATACTGCACCGGGATATCTCGGAAAATAACATTATTTTGACTGGTTCCGATGTTGGCAAGGACTGGAAGGGATTCTTGATCGATCTAGACCTGGCTGTATTGCTGTCCGATGACAAAGCTCAGGGAAAGACTCAGACAATGACCGGGACTATGGAGTTTATGGCACTAGAACTTCTAAGTGGCAGTTGTGAAAAAACAGGCGCCATAGTCAATCATTCATACCGCCATGACTTGGAGTCGTTCTTTTATGTCCTATTATGGTTAAGCATGAGTCGCGGATGGGAAAAGGGCAAAGAACAGAACCGAGATTACCTTTCGAATTGGTTCACAGGGACTGCCAAAGAGATCTTTGAATTTAAGAATACTCAAATGAAAGAATCAAACATTGAAGTAGATGTTTTGAGCAAGTTCTCGCCGAAGTTTTATGGATTGAGGAGGCTGGCAAAGGAGTTCTGGAGGATAATATTTCTCACAAATGGAACATTTTTTATAGGATCTTACAAGGATAATAACGCGTTGTATAACTCAATCATGGCGTTATTTGATAAGCAAATTCAGAGAATGACAGTGTAAGGGAAAATTAAAGATAAATCTCATTTGTCAAGGTATGGATGAATAATACGGGCTATGGAGTCCATCCGAAATGCGCAAATAAACATTATAGAAAACTTTTTGTACTGACATTATTCGTATGACACAGGTACTGGTAAGTTGGAATATCGAAGAAAAGCTACTTAAATCGAAGATCATTATTTCACTGTCATTTCAGTATGTGAAAAGATTGAATCTCGTGAGTGAAGTCTCCAGTTGTCCATTTGTGTATATTGGCTTACAGCAAAATGACTGATTGAAACTTTTTAGGGTTTGCTTACAAAAGAACTTCGTACAGGAAAGTTAGATGTTAAGGTCGGTGCGGCTGTGAAATGATCCCGGGTGCTTAAAGGAGTAATAAATTGCTTGGTGTGGTCGGCTTGGAATGGACAGTCAGCAATATTCTCAATTTTGGAATCTCAGTTCGTTGAGAAGAATTTGGGTGGGAATTGGATGGAGGAGCACAGAAAAATATGGAATAAAAAAGCGATTATGTAACGTTATGTAAAGACGGAACTATGTTTCAGGATTTTTTATTAGATTTGAGAGCTCCAAGTTCACAGACCCCTAGATTACTACGCAGATCTGACAAATTGTAAGGCTAATGTAAATTCACTCACGTCAGTGTCCATGCAGAAGATAAGAAATACTCTACTCCAATAGATAATATATCGTATGAATAGGTGATTGAGTCACATATAGTCTTAAGGTGAAGTATACATATTAGTAGTTTGGAGCCAAAAGACACCCGTAACCGATACCATTTCAAAGTTAAACACGTCTCAAATATCGCACAGTCTAATCCACCAGGAACCTCATACCACCATGACTTAACACTACAACAACGATGATATTCATTTCGCATCATGAGTCTTTGATAATCATTTTTATACGTTTCTCCATTCTGTAGATAACTTCTCATTCCTTGCCCAAACTTTCTCTTGTTAAGCCAATTTGGATAAGGAAAGTTCTTGAGTAAAAGTTATATTGCCAAAGGACTTCTAGAACAGTTAGGGTTGTTGTTATTACTTAGTTATGTCTATAAATAAGGAAAAATGACACCACAGTCATCGAGGTCGTAGAACATATTTATTCCGGCAACGAGCGAGACGAAACCAAAAAGTTATTTTGTAGTCAGTTGTGTATCAACAGCACTACCTACTTGATATCTCTGATAATTCTGACTTCTTACAATCTCCAATGGACTACATGGACAGCGTTATTTTATCCTGTAGCTTTGACCCATTCGTCATTCGTCATTAGCTTGGACGCTTAGATATCTATTCCAAAACTTGTCTTACAATTGAGGATGATTTAATCCATGCTAGTTCTGCTTTGGAATTTTCTCATTCCTTTTTTGTCCCCAGACATAAACTGTGGAGTCCTAAGCTTGTTTGCAGAGACCAAATATGATATTTCCGGAGATTGTAAGAATGATATACCAAGTATGAGGACGTGTTGGGGTTACGATGAATCCGTTTACTGTACGACGAATTTTACTGATGTTTGATGGATAGATAGTTGTAAAAAAATTGCTATATTTCTGGGGGTTGAATTTGAATTTGATTTCATTATCCTGATTTGGCGCCCTATGGGCCCATGCAGGTGTCTATATACTTTCTAATTTACATGGAAGGAAACCTTTTGGTGGAAAATCCCCAAACCTTCCTGCTTAATTTGTATATTTTTTTAAAGTATCCTTTAGGAAGCGCAGTTACACTATAGTGCCCTCCATATGACCCAATCACATCAGCTTTATCGACCTCAAGAAAGGCATGACCTGTTCCTTACCCTCAGCAGCATTTCGACCGCCTTTGTCATCTGGAATTGCTCTATCCAACCATGATTTAGGATCCACTGTGTTATCCTTTTGATATCTCCAGGATTGCTTAGCATAGCTTCGTGTGTGTTACAGTTTGACTGTGGTTTAGCTTAGGTGGAGACCTAAGCGGAGTTTAGGGGCGTATTAGGGAGAGTGTTTCGTATTATCTTGTATCAAGCGACTAAGTTTCACTTGGCCACACTACATTAAAGCTTGGAAGGAATGTGAGACGGCGAAGTGGAATTGCCAAGTGAGAGAGTCAGCTAGATGGCAAAGATGACGACGGGCAGTGGCGGAGCAATATGTCAATCTCACCAACAGAGTACGTATTGGATGAGCTAGAAGGATGTACAAATAGTCATTGCCCGTAGTTGTGATACTTCTCTCTTCATATAGTTTAATCTTTCTAAAAGTACACTACAACCAGCTTGGTTTCGTCACATCCCCTCATATGCCTCCCATACAGCTCCCCTCAAACAGTACCATCCCTCACAAGTCATCATTAGATCATAAACTTAAAGGAGCCCTTTGCCCTTCATTATCTCCCCTCTCCAGCCAACGAAACGATGGCTATTTGCGGGTGTATGGCAGCCGGGAAAAGTCGCAAAAACCACTGGGTGCGGGGCTCTCCTAATAGCGACATTAGGAATAAATCCGAAGACTGTTGCCCCTTCCGAAGCGTTCGAAAAGGCCAGCCAGCTGGGCGTTGTAGACTTGTGGGTACCTCGGGAAATTCACCCTTTGCCTTTCTAGCCTCCTTCCCGAAGGTCGTGCTGAAATGTCAGAAAAGTCTTGACAGATCATGATTGCTGTATAGTAGCTTAGTCCAACTTCTTTTGTGTCGTCCAGGGCGCTGGGGAGTGCCGTTGACTCATCGACAATAGAAGCCCTCCTGGCTAATTAGCCGAAATCTTAGTCTTGGCGCCCACAAAAAATCCATAGTTGAAAACTTCTCGGAAATGTCAGTTCAAGCATGGTCTTCAAAGACCTGTTCCCCCTCTCGTTTCACATCTCAGCCGCCTGTGCTTCCTCAAGATGTACAACCCCATTAGAGCATCAGTCCCCCATAAACCAAGACCCCAACTTTGTACATTATGACTTGATTTCCTCCTTGCGGGTATACGTAGCGTCGTAAATTTGTAGTGAGTGATGGCCGGTAATAAATGAGGCAAGCTCCTGTTTGCAATTGGGGTGAGGCCTTTATCGGTCGTCTTGGCGAGATGATGTGTGGTTAGATAGAGGTTGAGGGCTCAGAAGATAATGGTGAGTGCTACATGATTGAGAAGTTGTCAAATGGAGATATACATGTGTTTGCTTTCGACTTCGATTCGGATGCGATTCTTCTTGGCTATCCCAGATATGCAGAGCATACTGAGCCATTACACCGGCACCACTGGAAGGTGAAGAATTCGTCTTTGCCGGCAGGCTGAGAGCCTTGAATCATTGCCTCGTGGCCCAAATTATTTGTTATTGCGAAATTTGACTGAACATGTCTATTGGAGAACTTTTCACTCATTGCTTCGTAACGTGCGCCACCGACAGATTTCCAGTCATTACCCTCCTGAGTTGCCCTCGCTTCGCTTGCCAAATCCAATTAGTTCAAACCCTGAAAATTTTGGTCTGTCGCACAGATACGATCCAAGTGAAAGAGATTGCTAGAATACAAGCTTCCAATCATGAAAACGACTTGGAAAGACATTGCCCCAGTGCCGACAAGCACAGAGTTCTTAGATATCGTCTTAAGTCGCACACAACGAAGGCTACCGACTCAGATCAGAGCCGGTTTTGCCATCAGCAGAATCAGAAGTATTATCTAACCAAAACTCTCCGACTAAAACAGTTGACTGATAAAAAATAGATTTTTACACGCGAAAGGTCAAATTCACGCAGGAGACCTTCACCGAGAAGCTCTCTTTAATTCTCGATGGCTTCCCTCGCCTCCAAGATATCCACCCCTTTCACAGGGACTTGCTCAATACTCTTTACGACGCAGATCATTTTAGAATTGCTCTTGGGCAGCTCTCAACCGCGAAGCACCTAATAGAAATCGTTTCCCGAGATTATGTGCGACTCCTCAAATATGCGCAATCTTTATTCCAATGTAAACAGCTTAAGCGCGCCGCTCTAGGTCGAATGGCGACAATATGCAGGAGATTAAAAGATCCTCTTCTATATCTCGATCAAGTTCGTCAGCATCTTGGTCGTCTTCCTTCCATTGATCCTAACACTAGAACACTTCTCATCTGCGGCTACCCAAATGTTGGAAAGTCAAGTTTCTTGAAAAGTGTAACGAGAGCAGACGTTGATGTTCAACCGTACGCCTTCACTACCAAAAGTTTATTTGTTGGTCACTTTGACTATAAATATTTAAGATTCCAAGCCATAGATACCCCGGGAATATTAGATCATCCCCTGGAAGAAATGAACACGATCGAAATGCAATCAATTACTGCCATTGCGCACCTTAGATCTGCCATTCTATACTTCATGGATCTTTCTGAGCAGTGTGGCTACTCTGTTCAGGCGCAAATTCAGTTATTTCATAGTATCAAACCGTTGTTCGCAAACAAACTTGTCTTCATCGTTATTAACAAAATTGATATCACCAAACCCGAAGATCTTGATCAAGAAACGCAAGACCAGCTCAACAATCTCCTGAAGCCTGGAGACGTTGAGATGTTACAGCTATCATGCACCACTACAGAAGGCGTCCAGGAGGTTAAAAATGCTGCGTGTGAGAGGTTAATTGCTGACCGCGTTGCCCAAAAACTCAAGTCTGGATCAAATAGCAGTGGGACCGTTGGAAGTCGACTATCAGATGTGTTAAGTCGGATCCACGTCGCAAAGCCTATGAATGGCATAGTATGTGAGACTTTCATCCCAGAAAGTGTCTTAAAACTAAAAAAATATGACAAAAACGACCCAGAACGACGAAAACTTGCTAGAGATCTCCAAGAAGAGCAAGGAGGAGCAGGAGTGTTCAATGTTGATCTGAAGAAAGATTATATTCTTGAAAAAGATGAATGGAAGTACGATAAGATCCCTGAGATATACGACGGGAAAAACGTTTACGACTTCATCGACCCTGACATCGAGGAAAAGCTAGCCGCGTTAGAAGCGGAAGAAGAAAAGCTTGAGGCAGAAGGTTACTATGATTCAGACGAAGAGTTAGAGGATGACGAAGAAGCTGAAATCCGGTTAAAGGCCGACTTAATTCGTGAGAAGCGAATGTTAATCCGGAACGAAGCTAAGATGAAGAAATCCTTGAAAAATCGAGCCATAATTCCAAGAAACGCCACTCGTAAAAACCTATCTGAGATGGAAGACCATCTTGATTCTCTGGGATTGGATACCACTGGCATTGTTGCCCGAGCACGCTCTCAGTCAAGGGGTCGTGTGCCACTAAGAAAGCGTGGTGATACTGCTGATGCAATGGACTTAGATGATCCACAATACGAGGCTAAAATGCGAGCTAAGAGTCGAGCTAGAAGTCAGAGTAACAGGCGTGAAGATGGTGTCACAAACGAGATTTCTAGGACAAAAGCAGAAAGAGCTCACAAACTAAGTCAGAGAAAAATGAATAGAATGGCTAGGCAAGGAGAGGCAGATCGACACATCGGTGCAGCAATGCCAAAACATCTAGTAAGCTTATTCCCAATAACTATAAATCTAAAATTATATACTAACTGTTTAGTTCTCCGGGAAACGAGGCATGGGGAAGACCAACAGCCGCTAGTCATGTTACTTTTTTCAATAGTGTCGTAGTTATTCACATGGAAGATCACAGATGGCGTTTTGGTAAAGAAAATACTTGGGGTTCATACATGCTAGGCTTTATGGTATTATCATCTTTTGTTGTATTGAATCGTAGCACAATAATGACCTATAATAATCGGGATTTATGTACACGGCTTAGAGATACCTCTAACATTCGCTGTAATGGTCTAAAGTCCTGCTAAATTTCAACGGACGAATTACATCGAAGAACCTCCCGCTAACACAAAAACTAGACTATAAAACTGCATCCTTCCGTGGATAAATACCCGGAGTTATAATCTAGAAGAGACTAAGAGTAATTACTAGTGAACGTCAGTGATCTATTGGGTCCAAATGCAGTGACAGTTACAATGCCGATTTGTTTTCGAATCAGACCATGTTATGGACTAACTAGAGTCACGATCTGATAATTTCTTGTTATGAACATTTTACCCAATACCTAAGCAGATGACACTCATTATCCTACAGCAGTAGGATGCTAAAGCAAAAAACCTCAACTCTGTCCAAAGAGATCTACATAAGGTAATTAATGATTCAAGATAACAGACTATCAAATAACGTACCTGTTTAACAGACTATACTATCTGCACGAAGTTAAACCCAACTAACCGATGAAGAAAGATTGTAGGAGATGGAAACACTGTCGCCAGTTTAATTGATGTCGATATACAACAGAGCAAGTCCAGAATAAAATCAATTAATTGATTAATTCTAGAGAAAGAAGATCTCCTACCTCTCGCTGTAAACATAGGGAATTGTAATTATCAGCCCCGATCATAACAATCTATGTTGCTAAGCAATCACATCTAGACCGCAACATTTGTAGCCCCCGTAATTAGCTAGGCCCTATATTCCATTCCTGCCGTACTGGCACAGACAGTACAAGCCCGAGGGATTAATTCTGTAACAGACACGTGTTGTTTTGGATTTATTGTCCTTCCATTTCATCTAGCTTCACAACGCAACATTGTTTATTTTTTGTATTTTTTTGTTCATGAACAAGCTAGGTTAAGTGAATCCTGTCGTACTCCTACTACTAGAGCTTGAGCACGGAGGGCAAGACTGAACACCTGTACGCGGTGTCCTCTACGAACCTGGGAGTGAAATATTCTCCCAGAGCCAAGTCCAGTCAAATTTCGCAATATCAAAGAAGTTGGCCCACGAGGCAAAAATCCAAATTACTCATCCACGTCGTTATTTCGCTCCCAACGAGTTTGACTCCTATCTTCGTCTCATCGAGTCTACAAGTACGACCAAGTACATCCTCATTCCAATGACCACACCACTCTTCGACCTTCTCTGGCCTCAGCTAGTCACCAAATACACGCCCACGCCGATATTTATACCCGACGGAGGAAGCAAAGCGTGGCGCACAAATCTGGGAGACTGTTCTTTGGAATGGACGTGAGAGGGATTAGGACAAGTTGACAATATGATACGGAGGAAGGATATAACTTCGAAGGGCATGAGATTCCGAATTCTGGCAAGGAGTTTTTCGAATTGGGCTTTGTGCGCGCCAAGACTTCGCTTGCGAGAGTGCAGCTGACACTATAAAAACAAGCAGACGATGGAGGGTGTAGTGGTCCGCCTCCTGGTGGTGTTCTCCGGTATAGTTTGAGTAGCCCGGGCACCTACTCCATTTGGGAAGGAGACATCTCAGACCATATTTCGCGCGGAGAAAATTTGAAAGATGATGGAGGCACGTCTGGATAACTCAGGGTTTTTGAGACATTCCCCTGGGTGGGTATTCACGGATGAGGGTTGACTTGGGGTGAAGAGAAAGCCAACACAACATCGCAGTGGTACTTGCAAATGAAATCCGAGGCATGAGTGCTCTTCTCTTACGTTGAATCATATATTCTGTACTTTTCTTTGATATTGTGTCATAGCTAGATAGCTGCATACGCAATTAAAATCTGATGCAAAAAAAAAAAAAAAGAGGGGAGGCTACTTAAGGTGTCCCAACTCCCAATGCGCTAACCTCACTATCTATTCTACTACACCATATCCTTGATATTCCGAGTGGGCTCGTCATAGCGAAACTGGGTCGTATCGGCCCATGATTCCATATGAGACTTGCTGCAACAATATCTTGTTTCCATATTTGTTGCAACCCTGTATTTGTATGGCCAAGTGGGACATCTCTTTAGATAGCAAGGCTAATGACGTAATAATGATAAGTGTCCGTGCGACAGTCACTAGGAGATAGGTGCAGCCTGTAACACATATGAGGGGATATACTTCTGGTATAAGTATCCTCGGCCTGTAGGCAGAGAAGACTTGCATTTCCAACATAGTCATAGACTTAGAAAGGACAATAAAATGATGAATGATAAATACATTGGATTTAGGACCTCTAATAACCTTACCATTTAGGTTGGATAAGGAGGTATGTTGGAGTTCACACTAGTGTGCGGAGCACCCCGCTTTCATATGTAGAGGGGGATTTCTCGGCGCACTTAAAGTAATATTGTTGGAATTACTACGGTGTGGTTTCACGATCGGTCGTAATGATTCAGTAAAGAGTTGTACGATTCTGTGTTGGTCTAAATGTTCATCATTTCTTGTCTACGCTATACAGGATTCACAGCTATACTGTTTTTTTATTTATTATTATATTAAAGTCCTAAGTTAAAGCTCTAGGTCCACTATCGGTACAAGACTGGTGGAGCCGGCGGGGATCACTGCTAACAGGCCCAATTCATTCCAACCGCGAGACCCGCCACAGAAAAAGAAGCAGGTAAATTATAACTCAGAAGACTCCACCTACTCCGACTCCGAAATCGAGACTCCATCCTTCAACCCTAATTTCAAGTACATAAAAGATTTCCTCAGAGAAACGACACTTCTCGCATCGATCCCTTTAGTGTCATGTGTTGTGGCAATGACTAGATTGTCTGATCCCCGCTGAGAGCAGCGGATGAGTGGGCGGGTTGGCTATCAAAACAGCCGGTTTCTGTCGAATAGTAGGACACAAGTTTTATTTGGATGTGCATTAAACAAGGATGCTGGAGCTTGGGTGGTAATAATGATTATGAAGTTGTAATGACAAATGGGTAATAATTAGTAATAGCTGTGTAAGCATATATCATGTGACGAGTGTTCAAGGTCATTAAGGCCCTGGCGCTCCGTCACATATGAAGATGGATACGAATGAATGAAACAATTGTTATTGGGTTACCTCAAACAAAGAATCCATAGGAAATATTCCGACAGTTTCCTGCGCAAATATTTTGAAGCTATCGTGGCACTTGGGCCCGAGAAGCTTTTTGATAAAGTCAGCGTGGGACATTGACTTTCTGAGCCTACACGTTTGTTGTGCGTGGTGACAACAGTGGATGAAGTGGGTTGGAGTAGTTTCCTTCCCACAAGAGCACTCCATAGGAGCGTATGGATTATTAAAACGGCGATGGTATGCCGCAAAATTGCCGTGGCCTGTTCGTGCTGCGATAATTGCCCGGAGGAGGTGCCCAGAGAGAGATAGTTCGGGTGATTTGCGTCTCCGCACCTGTAGGTTGAGTTGGCGGTATTTAGGTGGACATGCCTCTTCCCACCAGTCGTCTAGCAGCCTCTGTCGTCTACGATTCATGAGAACACGTAGATATGCCAGAGTACATGATCCGGGTGGTGTCTCCTGGCTAGGTAACTCTCGGAGGGCGGCACGGGCAATGGTATCTGCCTCCTCGTTCCCTTGTATCCCTGCGTGCCCTGGCACCCATTTTACCAATACTTTTGCCACGTTACTTAATGCACGGAAGCTGCATACATCTTCTAGGCTAGTTGAGGAAGAGCCCGTCGTTAGTGCGCTTACAGCCTGCTGGCTATCTAGAAACACGTGGTTTTGCTGCGCCCCTCCTAATTTCCTGCACTTTTCATTCTACAAGAACTCCAGTGCGGCCTCCAGAGCCTTCCTTGCTCCTGTTATTTCTGCATCCAGCACCTCTCCCATGTGCTTGATGCCACTTCCTTTGCCGATGAGTTTCCCATCCTTTTTCAGAACGAAATCCTTGGCGGAACGTCCGTGTGCTTCCGATGAACCATCCGAGTATGCGCAAATGTCCGTTCCTGGCACGTCGCTAATCCGTCTAACGCAATCTCCGCGCTCCATCGAATTTGAGTCTGGTTTCCTAGGGTAAACCACCGGCATCAGACTTTCAGGGGCTTCTGCCTCCGGAAGCTCTCGGTAGGCACGCTGTAACCGTGACATCTGAATTTCTGGTCTGGCTGATGTTTTGGCGGTCTTTTTATAATTTTGGGTGCCGCCATTTGGGCACACGGAAGCGCGGATCCTCAGAGAGTGTCGATCATCAAGGGTCTTAAGCCTTGCCGATAGTCGAAGTCGGTTTCCCTCAAGTATGACTTTTGCTGGCGGGATTCCTCCTTCTCTGTGAAGGACTACTTTTGGTGTTGTCCTCATTGCTGGAAGCGCAGCCCGCAGTCCCATTAGGTTCGCTCTATCAATCATGCTGCATAGGTTAGACGTAGATGACGTGACTATTCCTCGTATAGTTGGGCGTTTGGACCCTGGCCACTAGATATCAGATCCCAAAGTTGCGAGTGAAACTACGCACATGTCTACTGCCTTAGCAAATGGCCCAGGAGCTGCTCCCCGAAAGACCGACTTGAAGCGGCGTATGTGCTGGGCAACTTTTACTACTTTACCGCACCACGTAGTTACATGATGTTTAAAATTGAATCGTGGATCTAGATACACGCCTAGCCATCGAATATGATCAGCGGGCTCGATGAGATTTTCATTCACATGAACCCCAACTGCTTCGTCTCGGCGTCGTCCTGAGAATTGGATGACTTCAGACTTTTCCGTGTCAAAGTCAATAGCATTATTTCGCGCCCATTCGAGAAGATGATCTGTCTCGCTTTGTATCGCAGCGACAGACTCAGTAACTGTGCGTCCAAACCCTAGAATTCTAATATCATCGGCGTAGCTAAACCTCGATA